TATCAGTATTGATAAAATGGGAGTTGTGAGGGTTTCTCACATACAATTTCTCCTTAGAAACAGAAGAGAAGCAGAGAGAGGCATGTTGCAGAACTGAGCAAGTGTTTGGAATAGTCCAGGTGGACATCATACTGCCGAGGCTAAGAGATGTTCTAGAACAGATCTTGAATTCTTTTTCTAAGGTCTGTACAACTTTTTAAGTAAACTATGATTGATCTGGATTCATTCCAAAGAGTAACCAGCATGCACAGTTACGAGATTTGGAAAATGAGGAAAAAGGCAAATTCTTCATCAAAAAATGGAACTGAACCTCAATTTCATACATTTCAGGTGGATTCCATAGCATGCACAAGGCTGCTGAGAACATTTTTTTCCCACTCTCCTTATTCACCATTTTGGGTTGGAATCTTTAAGACAAAGATTATTTTTTAATTATTATTTTGTAGCTTCAATGCTAGTACTTTTATGCAGGATATGCATTAGGACTTTGCTCCTAATGAGTCAGGAAATGGACTGAAGAAAGATCGTCCACCTCACTAATAAACATTTTTTACTTGGCAATTGTAGAGTGAGCAGCAGACATTCCTTACCCTCAAAATTTAAGAAAAATATTAGAAGTTCCAAAAATCTGTGTTACAGAAAAAAAATCAGAAGTTCTGAGTAAGTTAATAGACTGGGAGAACTACCACCCTCCTGCCTCTTTGCCTCTATTTTTTTTTCTCCCTTTATATGCAGATTTATTCAAGATAAATTCTGTTTTCTGATGTTACGATTATAGCAATGCTTCAATTAGGAAATGACAACTAGTGAGTTAACTTTTTTAGCTCAGCATATGTGGGTACGTACAAACTCATGCATAAACATAAACCAAACTACCCTTGTGGAAAAAAGGCTAATACCTTTTTTAGAGCATAAGTGAAAAATAGCAGCCAATGAAAACCAAAGATTGTATGATCCTAATTGCTGAGAGAATGACTTATTTGTCCATGCCACCCAAGAAGGCAGAAAGCTGAGGAGTGGGTAGATATGTGAGTAACAAAAGATAACTTTACAGTACATCAGCTCTGAGAGCTTAATGCACTTGTATTAAAGCATGCGTGTGTGGAGGCGTATGCAGTGACAGGCAGAGAGCGGTGTCTGTTATGCAAGTGGAATGAAGCCAAGCACAGAAGCTAGGGATTTTTTTTTGCCATTGACTTCAAACTCTCAGTTTACATGCATCCTTATAAAAGCAAGTTTTCAATTCAGCTAACAGCTACTGCTTACACAGTAACAGAAGTGTGTGTTAACCAATGTAAATTATCATAGTATTTGGTAGCTGTATTCTTTTTGACTTTGTAAAGGGCGCTCTTGCTTCACTCGCCTTCATCCTTGCTTCTGCAGCAGGGATCGCTTTCCTACCTTGTCATTTTGATTGGATTAGTTGTGAGAACCTTCACATCTCTCCACTAGCTCTCCTTTTTAATACATCAGATACATTGATTCTTTCAAGACTCTTTAAGACTATTTCTTCTCTTACTATAAACTTGTTTTCCAGATCTGAGGCAACAGGTTTGGCCCCTAGCTGGTAAATTATACTAGTTGCCCTTGCTTCCCTTCTAAGCCTCCAAACAAATACTTTCCTTGCATTTCTCATGGTATCCCTGAAATGAGGAAAACTATCTTTATAAACGTCAGCAAACTCCACTAAAGTCTCTTTTGCCATGCTGTCTAAAAAGCTTAGTATAGGTTTGCTGAGACGTTTGTGAGTAGCCATTTAAATTAAGCGATTCATTCAACCTCATTTTACTGATGAACAAATTTACTAGAGACCTGCGCTGCAGCTGGCTTTGCCTTTGATATGACATCACCAGATTTCTTTGGTCTTTCACTGAAGCTTTGACACACTGTTGCTTTTCTTTGACTGTTTAGGTTTTTTGAGAAGACTGCCTTTGCATTTTTGTTGCTTATTAAAAAAAAAAAAGGATTAAAGCAAACAATCAAACATCAGCTTGTTATACCCATCTTTGCAACATGCAAGAGTGTTTTTGTCAGCAGAAATGAAAAGTATTCACTACTTCAAGGTCAAATGTTGCAAGGGAAACGTCAAAGACGTTTGAAAAGCTTTGAAAGAACTGCAATTCATTAAGTTTCTCAAAGAAAAGATTAAAAAGGAGAGAATAAGGCTTCCTGACTACTAAATGGAAGGAGAAGTAGGCCAACTGGAATTAGGTGCAACAGGAACATAGTAAAAATCTTAGACAGTATATTGTTTTTTATATATCAAAACCCAGGATAAAACCAGCAGCTATTCTGAAAATGATGATTTGGAATATAAGCTACAAATTATGTATGGGAGAGAAAGTAATGGTGCCTACAACTTCAAGGCCTACAGCAACAGATATTTCTCATTGCTTTTCCTCTGCATCCCATTGGTGTCAGAAGCAGCAGCTTACCATCGTGCAATAAAGAAATTACTTTAGTTAAAGTCTTTTATGTTTGGAATTACATTGGTAACCAAAAAAATCACCTTTTTGTGTGGTTAAAAACAGTCATGTTACACGAATGTTTTTCAAGTACAAGACTAGCTGAGGTCATAGTGCTAGTTCTACAAGTACAGTACAGGCAGACCAAGAAATCAAAAGTAAGAGAAAATGAACTCTATAGAGCAGAGGTTAGGAGCATTGTGAGAAGAGAAAAATAGAGGTGGAAGAAAGGAAGTAGTAATTTTTCCATGAACTATATTGTTCTCAAATTTCTTGTGGTGTGCATAACTAGAAATCTATTTCAGCCCTGGAAAAAAAACAAAATAAACCAAAACAAACAAATGAAAAAAACAAAAAAATACCCTATCACCACCACCACGACAACCAACTATTTAGGCAATTTTATTTTTTACCTGGTCCCACTGTGAAATACAAAGGGACATTGAGTAGCTTGGCTCTTGTGGAGACTGCAAGAAGAGTTTGACACCAAAGTGTGACTCTCAGATTATGTTTACAGTAGAGAAAGCCATTCAATGAGCTAGTCAGTGGCAAACTCTGAAAACAAGTCACTTAAAGAAGTCACTTAAATTTCTCCCTCTTCAAGGCTTCTTCATCTACAGACTTATGTCCCAAATACCCTTCTGGAAGGCCAGACTGAAATCTTTTCATTTACAAATGAAGCTGGATTTATTCCTTTAAAAGGAGGAAAAGATGGTTCATTCGTTACTGAAGAGAAAAGCACTCGCCAAGTGATGAAGTATTCAGAAGCTCAGCTGAGGACATAGTTTCCCATGTCATCACCCTTCCAACCTTTTAAATCTTTCATTTAAAAACAAACACCACATTATTCAAGGGCTTGAACAGAGAGCACAAAAGAAAGACCCTTCACGTTGGTCAGCAAGATGGTTGTTTGAGTGGAAAAGGTCAGCTCCAGTGTGTTTATTAAGGCCTGATTATTCATTTACTCAGTATCTCTAAAATACATCCCAAATGGAAGAAAGTTTAATGAGGGATCTTTAACAGGCTGTGAATTGACCTGATTGTTCAGGATTGTAGGCCTTACAAAACTTGAGGTCTCTGAGGAATTAAAAAATCAAGTTGAGGTGTCTAGAGGAATCTGCTTATCTCAGAGCATAGATAAAAAGTATGCAGAGATTTTCTTGACTGCAGTTTTTAACTATCTAAATTCTGCTAGAAATTCTTACTTTCCATTTTTGGAAAGTAAATTTTGGGCTCTGAGAGATGGAGTTTCATTGTGTTCATAATTTTTTAATCAACCAAAGTAGACCATACAAACTTCTAATCTCTTTTAAACCACAGTTTTTTTATTCTCATAGGGCTTTGGTTGATAGTGTTTTACTCTTTAAGAATTATATTGCCACAGTAACTAAATCTTATTTCATGTGAAACCACTCTATTTTAAATTCCTCCTCCTCCAACTTGTTTTGGTAAATAACACACTGAAAACCTCTTCTGTGATTAGATTGAAATTCTATTGAATATTAAAAACCATAATCACTTTATTAAATTCATGATATATTTTAACAATGTCAGCTCTGACTAACTTCAGGGATCCCAAAGATGACAATTTTTTTTTGTCTGTTTTTCCTACAGGAGATAAAAATCTCGTTTGAGTAACATAACAAAGATAAATTTAGAGTAACAGCTTCAAATTTGTTCATATTTTGAAGTTTCCTCTTTATATGTTGCACCTGCAAAAAGTGTAAAAAAAAAAAAATTGTAGCAATAAACTGGGTCTTTTTTTTTACTGAATATATTAATTAGACTTTTAAGCCTAATCACATGATCCTATAAACCTTGACTCATATTAGACTAAAAGAGCTACAAAATCAATATACCATCACTTTTGTCTCATATATATATATATACACACATATATATACACATATATATACACATATAGATATATACACACCCACACAAAGAGAGAGATATCATTCCTTAGTCCATGGACCAATACCTATAAAGTTTCTGAATTCATCCAGTCCATGGCAGATGGTAAGGCTGTGCTTCCATCCCCGGGGCATAAGAAAACCTCCTGAATGTCTTAAGAGATGGTAAAAGCCTATCCACCTGTTTTTTTCCACAAACCAACAGATTTTATATATTATATACTGATGCATATTTATAATATAAGCATTTTTGTATATGTTATGAGACTATGTAAGTATATATCATATATTATATACTTCATATACGATGCATGCAAAATATAGAAATATGTAGTAATACGTAATTTAACTTCCTAGCAATAACTTTAGTCTCAGATGTATTAAGTGTAAAAAAAAAAATAGTTCATGATAGTCTTTGGTAAAAATAAGAAGAGATTAAAAAAAAACAGAAAAAAAAGCAGTGCGATAGGGAGGAAGCTGAGACAAGACATTCTTTATCTTAAAAGGATGAGGTTCCCTTTGTCCTGAGGTTAATTTTTCACACCTGTCTGCAGTTCATTCAGGTTAATCCAGAGCATGTGATGCTTCAATTTGTAACAAACTCAGAGACAGTAATTTGCAGGTGTTCTTTTAGGTATGCCGTAACATAAAAAGTAGATGCTTTTGAAATTGAAGGAACTTGAATGTTCCTTGATTTTAGACTTGTAGGTGTTCAGAACTGTTATCTAATCACTGACTTGAACAACTATGTTTTACTAGTATGTGAATGTGATGAAAAAGAAGATGTTTTCCTTCATTCACAGGTAGGTCTGGTTCATCTGTAATACTTAAGCAGGTTTGTTTCAGTGATTATTTCTGTGCTTGTTTCAAGGCTTATGGAGAGAATTAGGAATTTAATTCTGCTTTTTTTCCCCTTTTCCCATTCAAATAAGGAATGACACTTTATTCTAAATTTCAAATCTTACATGAAGCTTATTCAAATTGTTCTGTTTATTTTTGTTGCTAAATAGTCTTTTCACTTCTCAAAGTTATTATTGCTTTATAGTTTCCAGAACTTGACTGTCAAAAACATCTTATAGGATTTTTTTTCTCCTTCTTTTTCTTATTTTTGTGTGGTGAAAGTATTTTTTTTTTTTTTTTTATTTTTTATTCATAATGAACAAATGTGTTAAAAATCCTGTTAACTTTTCTGACAGATGTGAAAATCTGATTGATTCCTGGCATGGTTGTATTTTTCCTGACTGTGGGGGTTTAGTTTACTCATTTATTCTCCCTTCCTTAGGAAGCAAGCTGATATGAGAGAGAAGAGGAGAAAACCTACCACAAATTAAGAAATGTGTAAACATATACTATCTTTTACTTCAGTGTAAAAACAAAATATGCAAATAGACTAATTGTTCACATTGCCAGTGTAAGCTGAGCATTTATGAATTCATTGATTTTTGAAATGATGCAGAAGTACAGAAAAAGCCTTTTCAGTAAGGTTCTACAATGAGAAATGTTGAATATTTTAAAGATTTTTTTAACTGGGCAAATTAAAAAGCAGTACTGAAATATCTGGCAATGTTTTTACACCTGCTTTAAAAGAAGGTCTAACAGAGGCTCTAAAATCTTTAAGTATCCGAGAAAGGGGTTGTTTTACAGCTAAGGAAAAAAGCAATTGTCCAGAAAGACTTTTGAGAGGTGAACAAGGGTTTTTTTTTCCTATGGCCAGACTAGGTCTATTTAACGAAGTGCTTACTTGAAATTTTTGAGAAACACTAGAAGCCAAATTTGAGATTTTCTACACAGTCAAAATTTGCTCTTCTGATTCATTTTAACTTTGGAGATGGTTTTCCAGTTGTAACCTCTTCCTTCCAGTATCTTTGCACAATCCTCAGTTCAGTTAGTGAGCTGGCTGGACAGCCTTGACTGAATTTTACCTTTTATTTGTTCCCATGGTTTAGCTTGTGGTACTGATGCAGCAGACACAATATAACTACCATTTTGGTTAAAATAGTCTAAGTTTAAATAAAAACAAAGCAAATATTTACAATTCGGCCAATGGTAACTGTGTTTGGTTGCATTTTTCCAGAAAGGAGCAGCTTCTCTGTAGAGATATAAAACTTCCTGCAGGATTTTGGAGCAAAGAATAGTTTCTCCTTTGTTGGACTGGTGGGCTTGACTAAAGATAGGATGTTTCTTTCCTAACTTTTGAGGAACACTGGGACATCACAGAGAACAAGAAAAAGGGTACCTTCCTTTTCTCACTGTGAAGCTATATGTTTTGGCTCTTAGGGGAAAAAAGCCCAGTATGCTGTTTGTTGCTACTTGTCTGTTTTCTTCTCTACAGCCTTTTACTGGCTCCAGCTGTACTTGGACTCTGTTCTCAGAGTGTTCGTATTGATAATATAGAAACAAATCTGTGAATACTTAAAGCAAGCACCTGATTGCAAGTAGCACAGAGCATTGATGGCAGATTTGTTGGTGAATTACATGTAATGGCTATACTATATACGTTTCAGGAGCTTTACTTCCAATCAGCTCTAGTCAGGATTGTGAACTGAAAGCCTGTTAGCATTTGGAGCATATTTGATGTATTCCTGGAGAACTTCTTTAGATTTGTTTTTGTCGGAAAGAAGTACAATTTGTTCACTCCTAGACCTCTCCATGGAATGACACAAGGCACAATACACAGGTGATTGGGAGATAGGCTTCAGAAATACTCTCTTTTTTTTCTGGTAAAAAGTTTAAATGCATGGGCTCAGTGCAAATCACAGTCTGTTTTTCTATATTGCTTCAAATTATAGGGTATGTTTCTTCAGTATCTAAGTGCTTCAACTTCCCACTGAATTTATGGGGAAAATGAGCAGACAGTGAATTATTTAACACAAGGAAAAGGACTTGGTTTATTTTCTGAGAAACTGCCAAACTGCTTTTAATTACATTTTCTAAAAATCTGCAGTCTGAAGCTGACAGTAGCATAAGAAATTTCAGTCCGTATGGTTGAGTTGGAAATTAATGACAGATGAACTGGTGTAATACTGGAATGCTGAGCTCTTTTATAGACACTTGTCAGTATCTCTGCTGGCTAAAATACCAGGGGAAGGTGATATGAAAACTTCTATTCCTGAAAAGGAGCTTGAAAAAAATATTGTGTTAATGAACTAAACTTGGAGTCATGAGTTTAAGTATCAGCTCTCGCAGAACTTGCTGTGTAACTCCATTTTGTGACATTTGATGTATTTACCAGATGCACGTAGACAGACTTTGGGAGGTGCTTGTACTGCAGTCACAGCTAAAAATGCCAATATTCATAAGAAGTTAAATGCTATGGCATGACTGCTTTGGCTTCTGTTAGTGATATCTTCAGTGAACTTGATTTCAGTTTCATATTCATGGCACGTATGTCTTCATGTCAGTTGTTTAATTTGTAAAAAATTACAATTTTTTTTTTTATGATGGCTAGTCTTTCACTGGTCTGCATATGGAGAATGCACACAATGTGGTCCATGCTGAGGTTGCTTCAGGTATGATAAAGTGCAAACTAGTAAGTAACAAAACGTTTCAAATCATAAGCTTTATTGTTCATATTTCAGTGCACAGTAGCCTTAGGTCTAGGCAATGTCAGTGTGCACATTTTTTCAACAGCACAAAAGACATTGTACAGGACCAGAAAAAAAAAACAAACCACAAACTACTGAACAGAGTTTTTGGAGATAAACCTAATTCCACCTGGTCTGAGGTGCAATAACAGGTATGGGGAAATAGTACTGCCACCATTGAGACTTTATGGTTTTGTAAATAAAGTGGATCTCATCCAGCAAACAAACATCCTTCACAAATACTACACTACATGCATAAAACCTTTAGGAAAAAGGATCTGGAAAAAAAAATGAAAAAAATGTAGTGACTTAAAATGATGTGCCTCCTGACAGTGTGGATTTCTTTATATTGCAGTACAATAGAAAGTGGACTATCAACCATGTGAGGGTTTAACACTTCCACTGAAATACCCAAAGGTTGTATCTGTATGAGAACAAGAACTTAAAGGTAAAGGTATTTGCTAATTAAGTCTACGTCCATTTTGAAACACTCTTCAGTGTTTCAAATTAACCTGCCTCTGCTTGGAGGCTATGGGGACTTGTTGTTTTGATGGCAAAAGGTCTAACAATAGAAAAATGAAAGTACCAAAAGCCTTGTAGAATACATATTGGTGGGAAGTGAAAATCTATTTAATAAATAGAGAATTGTATTGTCTTTGAAATATATTAATCTATTCATTATTTATATGAACATATAAATGCAGGTGCATTTACTCATTTGCATTTCTGGAGTACCTTCTACATGGGGATTTCAATGCTTCACCGTAGTTTAATAATACAACATGAATGTGAGCAGTAGCATATTATTTACATGCATATTTGAGCAATGCCTAGTGATATCTTGCTATAAATCAATACACATTTTTTCAAAAGCAGCAAACCAGTTCATTTCTTTATCAGCCATAACAATCTTTGCCAAGTTATGCCAAACACTTGATCTACTTCAGCACATATGCAGCAGCAGTTGAGGTACTTTACATATAAACTCTCAGGGAAGAAAGGAAGGGAATTCTTTAGTCAGAAGAAGAAGGCTTTCTTTCTCTTTTAAAACATGATTGACGGCAAACAGTTTCTTCTAATAAATAAAATGGACCTTGATGTAAGGAACCTAAACCAAAGATCACTCATGTCTAAGGTATTTAGCATTATTCAAAATAGTTTAAGAAATCTCACCATTGGTATTATAGCACAACCTTTTTCAAGGTATCATTTTCAGTAAGTCCTGTCGCTATCAGTCTAGAAAGACTAAGGTTAGGGTGTGCTGAATCCAGCTTTAAAATGCAAAAGCAGAGCCCTCTTTAAACAAAGTGTCATAATCTCTTCAGCTTGGTTTCTTTCAGCAGCATTTCCAATGGATTTTTTCTGCATTTAGTTTTTCCTAAATGTACATTTACTCTTCAAAGTAAAGAAAAAAGTAAAAGTAAAAAGTAAAAGTAAAGAAAGTAAAAGTAAACAAAGAAATGCAAATGTGTTATGTTTTTATTTGTACTGTCAGGAAAGGATAACAAACATATGAAGGCCAATCTCTCACACTCAAGTTTTATGTTCAAGGTTATGGTTTCTTTCCTGTGACTCTGAGACAAAACAAGGGAACAGACTGTGCATTCTGAATACAATTATCTTAAATTTTATGCTCTTTTTGTAAAAATATTTTTGCTTGTACAAAATTCACCTTTTTACCAAGTACTCTGTAAATCTAGTTTACTGTATCTCTTGGACAATACATGATTATTTACTATAGACAATATTTGTTTTACAACTAAATTTATTAGAAACTATTACCCTTGTTCCTTTCTGCAATATGAAAAACAATAATCTGCTTTAATGTTACTGGATGTCCTGAGTATGTCCACAACATTATAAGAAAGTGAAGACAATTTGCTACATGTACACATTTTTAAATTTCAAATGCTTTTATATGTTGGTCATGTAAAAAGTTTTATTCCTTCAGTCTAATCAGAGACACACTATAACACTCATACCTTAGTAGGCGTAGGCCTTCCTTGGTAATCTGACTGTTCTGCTTAGTGTACTGTGGCAGAATTTGGACTTGTAATTATTAGTCTATATTTCACACTCATGACTCTGTAAAGGACTTGGAAAATGTCAGGTTTGAAATGATAGGGATTGGCACAGATGCCTCATAATTTCTTGTTTGACTTTTAATGAAACTATAGCTGAAAGGGTATATGTCTTCCATGAGGTCCAGTAGTGCCAGTACCTTAATCACTCACATGTACCTACAGCAATGGTAAGGTAGTGCTATGGAAGAGGTAACACGTTTTGAGCAAGAGGGAGTTTTGGAAGTAACTAGATATTTAAACAATGGTTTAGAAAAACTCCCCCCCCCCCCATTTCAAGACTTAAAACTTACCAGACTTAGCTTCTTTGCTCTTATCTTCGTTGACTTAAGACTCACACTGATGAGCTCTTAGTGTTTGAAATAGATGTGGCCTATGCTCATATAATTTGAGAGTTTTATTTAATTAGTTGGTTTCAGTTTGTTTAAAGTATTAATACTGTAGACAAACTCACAGGAATTAGGGACCTATGGCCTTTTTTCCCCTTACGATTGGAGTGATGCGACTTCTTTATGTCTCCCATTGCAACTGTTGTACAGAAAGCTAATAGATTGGTTTACAGTGGGTTTTAAACATGACAAATCTAATGACTTCAGGGAGACTAAGAATTTTTGCAACCTAAGAATCTGCACTCGTAGGAAGAAATATTGAGCTGCTAGCCAGCTCTTAAATCAGTCCAGAAGATGTAGAGAGGAATGCGATGGGTTCTGTATAGAATCAACGGATTTCTGGAACTGATTTATGGCCTTTAAACATTAAGGCTTCATTGGGTTTTATTTTCCTTCTTTCTTCTCCTCTCTCTTTTCTTCTCCTCTCTCTTTTCTTCTCCTCTCTCTTTTCTTCTCCTCTCTCTTTTCTTCTCCTCTCTCTTTTCTTCTCCTCTCTCTTTTCTTCTCCTCTCTCTTTTCTTCTCCCCTCTCTTTTCTTCTCCCTTTAATTTTAAATAAATAAAGGGGATTAAATATCCAAGTATTTAACATATTAGCATCACTCACAAATACATTTTGAAGAATGAAAGAGGAATCTATTAATATTCCTAAGTTTACCAAAGTGTTTGGAAAAATGGGTAATTTTCTGTAAGTCTGGAAGAATTTCACTTTACAGAATAACATACATTTAACACAGAGTCTATATCACTAAAAACTGCCTAATGCCTTCCAGCATAGCAGATTAATGCTAATTAAAATGTCCTAAAGGTCTGCTTAAACCAGTTCTTGGCAATGTTCTGGGTTGCCAGATGTAGGTATGGTCCTAAAATGGTTATGAAAGATTTTTCCAAGTCTCTGTCCAACTCATTCAAGGTTGTCTTGGGTGGAACTTGTCAAATTAATTTTAAACTTTGGTAAACTATGGCTTGTGTGTGTTTTAGCTGCATGGTTTAGATTCAGTATACCATAGGTGTCTTTTTCCTTTTTTAAAAATATATATTCAATTATTCCCCCTAATCCTTTTTATTCAATTTCTTTTTTGGTAGTGGTATTTACACATTTATGAATTGGAGGGGGTATGGGAATAACCACTGCTTATGCATGGTCCTCATGCCCCTGGTTTCCAGATTTGGAGCTATGTTCAGTACATGAAATACATTTTGTCTGCCATGTCCAGTCCTAATTTTCATAAGTCTTCCTATGTTACTGAGCTGTAAGTCCTTCACTTATTGAAAACTAAGGTAATAATGAATGCCTTTTTGTCTGATTAGTACTTTTTTGCCAGGTCTGAACTTTGACCTGACATGTTTATTAGAGACTACTTGAGGGTTAGTGGTTTTGTGACAGTAGCTGGGACTTAATTCTTCTGTTTTCTACTTTTAATGTGCATTTCAGTAGCCAGTCCCCCTGGTAGATAGGCTATATCAGTTTATAGGCTATACCTGTTCTATCTGACTATTTAAAAGAGCACTGTCATCAGCTCAACCTCTATGAGAAATATATTTTATTATTGCAGTTTGTTCATTCAAAGTGCAACAAAACAGTAAGAATCAATACTGACACTATTAAAAAGCAATCAAGTTA